GGGACGCACAGTCACTCCACTGTCCCCCGGAAAAACCACCCTGGGGCCGATTTCAGCAGCTTCCTGAGAATTCCATGAACCGGCCGCCCCTCGCCGGATGCCGGGCCTCCTGCACCGGCGTCCCCCACCTCCACTCGGAGGGGTTCGGCACAAGGTGAGGCGCCGTCGAAAGACGCACCAGGCCCAAGCGGTGACTGCAGGGCGGGGACCCGGCCAGGCGTCGCAGGAAGGCGGCCAGGCCTTGGAAGTCGCCTCAAACACCGCCCGCTGCTGGCACCTCCCCGGCGGATCGGCTGCCTTGCCGGCCTCCAAACGCGCCGCGAGACCTGGCGCCCTGTCTTTTCGTTTACACAAGATCCCGGGTGGGGCTGCAACCCCCAAACCGTTTTCAAAAGCCGGGCCTCCTCCAGACTGCAGCGTGGGTCGCAGGCTAAAGGTTCGCAGGTCAGAGAGGCAGAGTGAGCCCCTGGGATCCATGCTGTCTGACCCTTGGGGCCTGTTACAGTCAGAGCCACGTGCGGCGCGGGCGACAACACGGTTTATGCCCTTTCCAGAGTGCAGCCCCACCGGAGCCCAGGGCCCTGCAACCTTGCCTGCGCTTGGGGTGCCTGAGAACCGTGCAGCTAATGGGGCGAGCAGTAACCCAATATCTGACGCGGTCCTACACGTCGAGCAACAGAGAAACGGCGGGGTGTCAGAGTTTGCAAATGCCAGCATCACTTGCGGAGACACAGCAGACCTGGCAGCTGCCAGAGGCAGGTGGGGAGGCGCAGAGGGCCGCCATGCAAACCCGCTCGGGCTGCTGGCCCGCTTTCAACGAAACGCACAGCTCAGGCCCAAGAAGGCTGGGGAGAGTTGGCGGAGAGAGAACAAGAGTCACTGTCCAGCGCAGCACCCGGACCCGCAGAAGGGCGGACGTGCCCATCTCTGAGCCTCACTGAGCATCGCCACCGATCAGGCGTTTGTATCAGCCAGCAGCAGCACCGGAGTCAGGCCAGGGGATTTCTGCGGCCTTTATAAAGGCTAGGAAAAATAAAGATTAAGCAGACACAAGCTCTGTTTCTCTGATTTCGCATGGAGAAACCACTCCCCTTTCTTCTTTTTTTGGGGGGTCACAAGGGCTTGCCCAGAACGAAGGTCTTCTGGTCCACTGGCCTGGGAAACAGCGAGTACTTTCTCCCCGCTGGATCATCCGATTCACTTCGAGAAAGTCCCCAACCAAAGCCGGGAAAGCCCTCGGGACACCCATAAGGCCGTGCGTGAGTGCGGTGTGCCAGATGTCCGCTGGTCAATGGGCGCCGGTCCGTGGTGGCTTTCGGGTGCTCCATTCTGCAAGTTTCCTGCCAATTTCCAGACGCAAAGGCCTTAGACCATCCCTGTCCAAAAGTCTGGAGCAAAGAAATCCTGTCGGTGTGAGCTCATGGGGCGCACCCAATACTGCTTTCCAGACAGTCCGAAGCTCCCAGGGAATTTTCCAGCGCAGCTGGGAATGCAAGGAGACATTTCAATGAATCGCCAATTCCCAAACGTTTACAAAAGTTTCCTCCGTGCTGGCCATAAAGTACCCTGCCTGTGCTCGCTGAAACAAACTTTTAATGCAAGCTTTTTTTTTTTTTTTTTTTTTTTTTGAGTGTACGACGGTGTGGAGGAAAACGCATAAGGCTGAAAGCTGAGGTCCAGTAGAGACCCAAGGCTTGGCACTAACAGACCTCTCAAGCAGCTGCTCTGTGTGCTGGGACTGAGGGCTGAGCTTGCCTAGCTTCTCTGAGGGTCACGCTGGTTGTCTATCAAATCCCCACCCAGACAACCTCTGTTCTGTCTTGTAGCAAATTCTGTAAAGGAGGGGCCAGACAGAGACGACTGAGTTCGAGGAGACCCTGGCTGAGATTCTAACCTTTTTAGGGCAGGCATCCTGCTCGGCCCCCAGCTGCGGAGATGTTCTCTGGCCCAGACCTGCTAGAACTGGTTTGTGAGGAAGATGGAGGGAGGGGGTACACTCACGCACTGGGTAATGGGGTTACAGTTTTTTCTGTGCTTGCTAGGTAATGACATTTCATCAGGCACCCTGGCCGGCAGGTCCCTCGTGGGTTCTGCTCTGCCTACTCCTGAGTATTGCCTGGAGGCTCCAGACAGGGTTGGTGGTTGAGCTGTGACATGGGGACCCCAAAGAAGGCAGCAGGGCGGGAGGCCTAGAATTGTGGATCTCCAGAAGGACACAGAAAATCTGCCTACCGTGAGCCTTGGCTGGGCCCACTCCTGGGAGAAGTTCCATCAACTGAAAGCTTCAAAGGCCCCAGAAGGGGCAGGTTTGTGGTCAAGCCATGCCTGGGGTTGCAGAGAGCATCCTCCTTGGCAACACTGGTAGGCCAGCACCAGAAGGCCCCAGCTAACAATGGTGATACAAGCTCAAAGTCTTACACCAGGAAGTAACTGGTCCAGCACCCAACCAGGGTGCCTCTTTCCCTCTCTGGCCTTCCTTTACCAAACAACAACAACAACAACAACACAAACAAGCCCTATGTTGGCTGTGACCAGAGCTGGGATCAGCTGAATCCTTTTAACTATGTGGCTGAGGGAAGACCCTTGGAAAAGGTAGGTCACCCTAAGTAGCAAGATATGCTCTGAGCCTCACTGTAGTCTGGGTAATATATTTTCCAGGTCTCCCAGAATCCTTACAGCTCCCTCAAGGGCAAGCCCCACGCCATGGCTACACTAAGATCTGCCCGACCCACAGAAGAAGACTACAAAGATGACATCTGGATTTCTGCAGGAAACTTATTCTCCTTGTGCTGGCTTAACACCTACTTAGGCAGTCCTGTGTCCTCAGTTCAAGGGGACAGGCCTCCAGAAAGTAAAGTCTTAGGGAATCTGAGCGCTCCAGTCTCCCATGCTTGCATCACCACCAAAAGACGTTTGGCATTCTAGAGCAGAGCTGGAGTTTAGGAAATCATGCTGGATCCTTAAACAAATATGTACCTCACCCACAAACCACGGGCAAAAACCCAAATCAAAGCTGAGTCTCTAGACTCCCTCATTTTTGGGACCGTCTCTCAATTCCCTTAGAACGCCTACAGGGGTGGTAATCAAAATGGGGCCTAAAAGTTACTCTGAAAACAGACCTTGTCATCTGTGCTGCCTCGGGTTTTGAGAATATTACTAGGAGTTGCAGCCCAAAACCTGGGTGGGAAAGGGGGGAGGGGGAACGGATATGCAAAGGACAAGTTGGGCAAGAAAATAAGCCCCGGGCTTTTCGAACCCTAGAAACTGCGGGGACACCCCCTCCCCCGCGCATAGCCTCCAGGGCTCCCTTGTCCTTCTTGTGCTCTTTTTTTTTTCTTTTCTTTTCTTTTCTTTTTTTTTCTTTTGGCCAAGCAGCAGCACCACGTTTTTTCTTGAGGTGTTCTGACAAAGAATCAAAAGGCAGGGGCACCTCCTACCCTCCTTCTCTAGGGCCCCTCATGCCGGAACTCAGCGCTGGATTCTCCAGCTGAAGCGGCCAGGAACCCTAGCCCAGAAGTGGCGAGGCTGGAAGTTGGTAGATCCTGCCCCCTCTCCCTCCTGCGCACTAGCCACCGGGGAAGCGCTACACTCAGCCTACACTGGCTGCCCTGGGCTCCCCGAGGGCAGTCTGCGGGTCTCTGCGGCCCCTTGGTTTTGCGCCTTGGTCCCTTGCAAGAGTCAACTTCCGCAGAGGCCACACCGGACTGCCGGGAGGGAGTTTCTCGGGCCCTGGGCCCCGTGGGGTTAAAGTCTGAGTCCCAGCCTGGCGAGGAGGGAAACGCGCCGAGTGGGGGCGGTACGGGCCGCGGGGCAGCCAGGCGGCTCGAAAGGAAGGAAAGGCGGGATCCTCCGGGAAGTTGATTCTCAGGCGTCCAGCTGCGGCCACCGCCAAATCTCTGACTTCTCTCCCCACCTCCTCCCCCTTTCCCTGGAGGACGGCTCGGGTCCCGGGTTTCTAGCATGGGGGTGGGGCGTTGTCAGCTGGAAAAGCCAAGTCTTCCAGAGGGTCCCCCCCCCCTAAGAGAATCCAAACTCTCCATCCCACTGACCTCCTCCTGGGTTACAGTATCTCTGCCTGACAGCTGCGACCTTCCGAACGACGCGGTGACCCAGCCGGGGCTGGAGCACCTGGCAAGGCCTGGGCAAGGCTGTTGCGTTGCCCTTGTTTTGAAAAATAAATAAATAAATAAAGTGTCCCACACTTCTTCCCCTTGGAGGCTCCTTCTGTTCCCCCTCTTTCTCCTTCCTGCAAGGCACCCCCTCAAACGGTCCTCCGCTTTCCTTTCTACCCTCTTCCTTCCCTTCCCACCTCGGTCCTCCTCTTTTCTTCGGGGGGGCCCCCACTCAGCCCCCCTCCTTCGGGGCCCTCCTCCTCCTCCTTTGCTCTTTGGGCGTCCGCCCCGTCAATCACCGCCGTCTCGGGCCCCAGCCCGGCCCCTCTCCGCCTCCCAGGTTCTGGGAGTGCCTGGGGCTCCTGTCTCGGCCGCCCTTCGCTATGTGCAGAGCCGGGGCGATCTGTCAGCGGAGCCGGCCAGGGGGGAGCAGCCCCGGCCGCCGGGGCTCGGGTTACCGGTGACTGACAGCGTCTCCATGGCGAATAATTTGACTCGACTATTGTCTGGCGCGGGCAGGCCCCGGGTCAGATAACCCGACCAATCAGGGCGCGGGCCGCCGCGCCTCATGCCCGCTTAGAATAATATTATTAAAAAAGCTGCGAGCGAGCTAGACGGGAGGGAGAGCGAGCGAGGAGCGGGCGAACAAGCGGCGGGCGGGCGCAGAGCATGCGGAGCGGCGCCCCGGGCGGCCCCCGGGCTTGGGCGCGGGCGAGGCGCGCGGGTGGCGGGGGCGCGGAGCTGCGCGGGGCCGACGGCGGGAGCGAGGACGGACCGCAGTGACTCAGGAGCCGCCCGGGAGCCAAGCGCCTGGCCAGGGGGCCCCGCCCGCCTGTCGGCCGGGCCAGGCCGGCGGGGAGGCGCCCATGCGGGGCCGCGAGGCTCGGTGAGGGCGCGCGCGGGCGGGCGGGCGCGCAGCCGGCACCATGTCCATGCTGCCCACCTTCGGCTTCACGCAGGAGCAAGTGGCGTGCGTGTGCGAGGTGCTGCAGCAGGGCGGCAACATCGAGCGGCTGGGTCGCTTCCTCTGGTCGCTGCCCGCCTGCGAGCACCTCCACAAGAATGAAAGCGTGCTCAAGGCCAAGGCCGTGGTGGCCTTCCACCGGGGCAACTTCCGCGAGCTCTACAAAATCCTGGAGAGCCACCAGTTCTCGCCGCACAACCACGCCAAGCTGCAGCAGCTGTGGCTCAAAGCGCACTACATCGAGGCGGAGAAGCTGCGCGGCCGGCCCCTGGGCGCCGTGGGCAAGTACCGCGTGCGGCGCAAGTTCCCGCTGCCGCGCTCCATCTGGGACGGCGAGGAGACCAGCTACTGCTTCAAGGAGAAGAGCCGCAGCGTGCTGCGCGAGTGGTACGCGCACAACCCCTACCCGTCGCCGCGGGAGAAGCGCGAGCTGGCGGAGGCCACCGGCCTCACCACCACGCAGGTCAGCAACTGGTTCAAAAACCGGCGGCAGCGCGACCGGGCGGCCGAGGCTAAGGAAAGGTACGAGTAAGTAGAGCATCGGCGCCAGTTTCCCTGGTCCCGAGGGTGTGGGGGGATGATGTGCTCCTGGAGGTGATTAAACTGGACCCGGGTCCACGTTACGCTCCCGGCTGCAGCTCAGCCTGGCTCAAAACAGCGCTTAGGTTTTGCTGGAGACTGAGCGAGCGGCCAGGAATTTGTCTAAAGCGGGCAAAGTAGCGCATAAGTTCTCAACTAACTCCCTAGTTGCTTGTGGACTAGATAGGGGGGAAAAAGAGTTTCAGAGAGGGCAGGGCTATGGGCCGGGGTCCCTCTGCAAGGTAGGCATAGGCTCAGGGCCTGCTCTTCCTCGAACAACCAAGGGCACAGGGGATCAGAGAAGTCACCTCTGGGTCAAAGTAAGTTTTTTTTTTTAGGGGTCAGAGCTGGGATTGGAGCTTCCCAAGTATTATCCGGGCAATGAAGGCAATATCTGGGCAAGGATATTCCTTGTCTGGACGGAAGAGCTGAGGGCAAGGGAGTTGGGAATTATCCCGCGTGGAAAGGACAGAGAAATGAAGGGCCCCGGGGAGGAAGTGTCAGCTGTGGAAGAGAAGACAAACACATACCTCTTTTCAGGCCTGCTGAATCCAGCAAGCCTTCCAGGACTTGCCAGACCCTTGGCCTTTCTCTCCTCGGGTCCTGCTCTCTTTGATGGGCAAGTCGGGTGTGTGAGGTAAACTGAGATCTGCCGAAGGCCTTGGAGTTGTATTTCCTCTCGGAATGCCGAACTAACCTAAGTGTTGAGGCCCTGGTGACCGTCTGCAACCGGCTCCGAACTTTAATCTCCACGAGGGAACTAGAGAGAAACGGGGTATGGGAACAGAATCTCTCCTTTAACGGCAAAACAAGACACCTGTGTTAGGTGGTGTAAGGTGTGTTCAACACGGAGTTTCAATGATCCTAGTCCCAGGGAAGGGTGCTGAACAGTGTGAAAGATGAGCAGACTGCAGACTGGATCTGAGTATTTGAAACCTGGAAGTTGGACTATTCCGTGGTGATGAGGTCTCACTCGCAGAACTACAAGCCCTGTGGATGCTCTCTCAAGAGATCAGAAAGAACAGCTGTTAGGTATCCACATGGAGATTTTACCCAGGATGTTCAAATACACACAGCCCAGCAGCGACTGTCCACAAAAGCAGGGCAGGAGGTGGGTTCACTCTCAGGCTGTCACCGAGTACAGCTAGGGTTTCTGACCAGGCCCCAGGTGAGAAATGCAGATTTTGTCCCTGGGTCTCTGGTTATGACAGAAAGACCCAGGCCAGCACTAACCACCCCGATCTTCCTTCTAGCTTCCCCCAGGGGTGGCTCTCCAGTCCCCTGGCTAAATATTCCAGGAGATGGCTAGGGAGGGAGAAAGCTTCCATTCTCTAAGCCTGATTCTTATGCCCAAATAGAGCTCACAGAGCCTGCTCAGTTTGGAATTAGGGAAGGAATTCTCAGGAGCTCCCACCCACCCACCCAAGCCTATCTGCAACAGGAGTTTCCCTCGGGCAGAGAAAAGCAAAGGACAGGAGACCTGTGCTTATCCAACTCCAAGTGGGCCCCTCAGCCGGGATCGCTGTACCTGGAGTTTCGGTCCCCACTGCTACCCAGCAAACCTAGTTTGTCCAGCCTAAGTGATTTGAAAACCCAGCCTCTACCTTCTCATCCCCTCAACTCCAGGCACCCTGCTTTGGTGCCTCTGCTCCAGGGGAGAAATGGAGTGGGAGACTAGGACCGCACATACAGAGAGAGAGGGAAAGGTAGTCATGAGATTAAGAACGTGGGCTGATCCCGGGAGAAGGACAAGAACCACAAAGAACCAAACGCAGGGTGTCAAAACTGGTAGAAACTGAAAACGCTCTTTAGCAACCGCAGAGGCACCGAGTCCCGAGACGGGCCTCAGGCGCTGGCGTCCTGAGGGGGTGGCTCTGAGTGGCCTCGGTTTCCCACTGACCCCAATGCTTTCCTCCTGCGCTTGCAGGGAGAACAGTGAGAACTCCAATTCCGGCAGCCACAACCCGCTGGCTTCCTCGCTCAACGGCAGCGGCAAGTCGGTGCTAGGCAGCTCCGAGGACGAGAAGACGCCGTCGGGGACGCCAGACCACTCGTCGTCCAGTCCCGCACTGCTGCTCAGCCCGCCGCCGCCCCCTGGGCTGCCCTCCCTGCACAGCTTAGGCCACCCTCCCGGCCCGAGCGCAGTCCCCGTGCCAGTGCCCGGTGGAGGCGGCACGGACCCACTGCAGCATCACCACAGCCTGCAGGACTCCATACTCAACCCCATGTCTGCCAACCTTGTGGACCTGGGCTCCTAGAACTCGGCTCCCGGCACGAGCTCGGTGCGGGGACTTGAGAGGCGGTGCGGGAGGGTGATAGGTGCTGGAGTCCGTACCCGGTACTAGAAGAGGGCCACGCCACGTTACGCCACGCAGGAGCAGCAGAACTGGCCGGCGGGACAAAGTGGAGTACTGTCTGCTCTGGGCCCTTTGGGGGATTCCTTCTCGACAAGTTGCTTTTGAGATCCTTTGGAGGCCAGAGACTCGATCTTGAACCAGGCAAGGGAATAAATTATAAACCACCACCACCCCGATTTTTCTCATCTCTTGTCTCTTCTCGTTTCTTTCCTCTGCTTTCTTTTCAGGTTTTTTTTTTAAATTTCTCCTCTTTCCATTTCTTTTCTCTTTCCCTCTTGCTTTTTCTCTTTTCCCCTTTCCTTCTAAATTTCTAGAGCGATCTCTCTCTCCCTCTCCCTCTCTCTCTCTCTCTCTCTCTCTCTCTCTCTCTCTCTCTCTCTCTCTCTCTCTCTCTCTGTGTGTGTGTGTGTGTGTGTGTGTGTGTGTGTGTGTGTGTGTGTGTGTCTGTCTCTGTCTCTCTCTCTCCTGATTTTCACACATCATACCCTTAGTCTTCCGGTCATCTTTTTTGAGTCCTCTCCTTCTCGAACTTTCTGGGAGTCCATGTGAAGGAAGTTAGACATCCTGGGCCTTTGGTCCTCAAAGACCCGCCTCCACGCAGTGTGAGCCTAAGATGCCAGCTTTTTGATTAATAAATGAACAAGAAAGGGCTGCACCCCGGAAGCCCCTGAACAGTCCCATCTGATCCTCTCTCTCTCTCTCTCTCTCTCTCTCTCTCTCTCTCTCTCTCTCTCTCTCTCTCTCTCTCTCTCTCTCCTCTCCTCTCCTCTCCTCTCCTCTCCTCCCTTTCCTCTCCCTCTTTCCACCTCCCTGGCTTCCTCCTTCCCACCACGCCGGTTCTCTTCCTCCTGGGACTGTGGCCTCCTTGCTCCCAGCCCAGAGTGCCTCCCCAGCCGCAGACTTGCCTTTCCCCTTTTATGCCCTCATGTGAATGTTCGTCGGGAGATATTTCTGCTTTTATTTTATAATAAAATTAGAAATCATAAATATATGGATATATGCCCCAAGACGCGGTTGGCCTGGCGTGTAACAGCGTCTGATTTCCCTACAGAGACTGGGTACCCCGGGGTGGGCAGTTCTGGGCAGTGACCCTCGGGCGGAGTCCCGGAAACCTGGACTGGCCTTCCCTCGCAGTGTGTCTCTGGCAAGGATAAGGGATGAGACTGAAAACTCGGAAGCCTCCTCCCATTAAGACCTAAGTCCCTTTTCTCCCGCAGAGCGCTCTGCAGAAACAAGGACCAGACTTCCGGCTTCCATCGCAGGCACCACAGCAGAACCCCCGCCTGACACTCCCCCACACACACACACACAAACGCACACACCACCACTGGGGATGTAGAGGGAGTTGAGAGCCTGTGTGCCGAGGGGGTAAAGGAGTTTGGAGTTGTGGGGTCCGGGAGGAAAATTGGACTGGGAAGTTTTGAGTCGGAATTACTTCTCAGCATGGTCGAAGTCACTAGAACTGGAGACCACAGTCTGGGCAGATTCGCCCGACCAGGAGCAACGGCTGAGACCTGTGTTTCCAGGGCACACCCTTGGCTCACCGTGGAGGAGGAAACGTCTCTGAGTTCGGCGACCTGTACTGGGTACAGTGAAGGAGAAGGAGAGCGGACCGCCAGCGGAGGGCCAGTGTCGTGGATGCCAGCAAGTGGGTGCAGTGACTCCCAGGGGTAGACCTAAGGGCTCCTGAGTGTGGCGCGCTGCGATTGCCGCTCTGGCTGTAAAGAAACCTACAATATTATTTAAGGAGTTCTAGCCCCCTTTTATCCAACATGTCCAGGCTGGTCCAGACAGATCCACATCAGGCAAGACTAAGGAGGAAGTTGTCTGTATTGGTTCGCAGTAGTAGTGGTTACATGATTATGGAACAGGACTACCAGGGTGGTGGTGCCCATCCTGGTCTGGAAGGGATGGAGGGGAAGAGGCATTTGCTGGGCCCTAGGACCTTGGGACTTCCCCTCTCTGATAAAACCAACACTTCTGGTTTTGACCATAAACTCATCAGAACTCTTCTCTTGAAATTTTTTATCAAGAGTTTCTTCACCCATGACTCAGGCGATTGAGTGAACTAATGGGCACCGGAGGTCACACTGGTGCACAGGCCTGGAGTTCAAGAGGAATGAATACACAAACCTGGAAGACTCGTGGAGGAGGCTGGATTCCTCTACCTGGCGGGACACCCAGGGCCCCTGCACTTCTGCTTAGAAGAGAAAGCCCAGCCCCAGGAGCGTCCTTGGCCTCTTGGCCAGTCCCTGCTTTCAGGAAACGTCTCAAGTGCTTTCTGGAACCGGTTTGCACTCGTACAGACTGAACAGTCCAACTTCCTCTGACTTGAGGCAAGCAGAGCTAGCAGCGACTGCCTGAAGGTCTGACTGGAGAGTTCCAAACGGAGCTGCCTCTGTCCGTCCACTTGGCCAGACTGCTTGGTGATGTCATAGCCCACACTTCTGCACAATTACTTCGCTGGATGAGGAAAATCCAGTAGCCTCCGTGTTCCAAGTCATCCCTAGTCCCACGCTCACAGGAAAACAGACTGTTAAATTATCACATGGAAAAGAAGACACACATTTAACTTTGATTACACAATTATTTGGAACCTGCTATATTCCGTTCATTTTGAATAGCACCAAAGCCTATTGTGATAGAGCCTTCCAGGGAAACAGAATGCAGCAGCATCCATGTTAATTCTTACACTCAAACACATTAGCAAGCACATGGATTCTCAACACATTGTCACACAAGCACTCTCCCTTAATGGATTTACGTGTAAGGTAGTGTACAAGTGAACCTGTCCAGCATGTGTGAACTCACAGTCCATGTATACATCAGGCTCTCTCCACATCAGGCTTATCTCCAAGAAACAGTAAAGTCCACAACTGTCCTCTGCTGCCCCTGCCCACTACCAGTCCCAGCAGGATGCCCTGATGACGTCAGAGCAAAGCCTTGCAGAGGGGCTTTAGAGACAGAAAGGATCCCATCCTAGAGGGGGCAGCTGATCAGGGTGTGATCCCTGCTCTAAGCTCAGGAGCGCCAGTAGGGGGCAGGGGGTCAGTTCCAAGGCTGTTTTCCTTAAAGTGATTTCAGAGCAGTTCAACTTGCTGGAGCTTCTGCCTTTCACTCTTCTCCCAGCAGCTACATATGTATTTAAACACTGGAAGGGAAGCGGGGTGCAGAAGTCCACTGAATCTATCAGTATAAGCTACTCCCAGCTGTGGTTCCCATTAGAACATGAGAACTGGACATACTATACAGATATTGACTGGTTAAAAACAAACAAACAAACACTAGTCTTGTCAGACTCTGTGGAACAGGACTCTTAGGGACCTTCTTCCATCCACCTCTTAGAGCCCCCCCCCAGTTCCCCAGCCCCCCAACCCCCACCCCCACCCCACCAGCAGCCAAAGAGTTTTGCCCTGCATCATGGGAATATCCAGTCTTATTCCTGCTCTCTTGAGAGTCTGTCAAGGATGTCCTTCAATTTGTTCCTAAGCAGGTACCCACATATAGACTCACACAGCCCTGTAGTGAGAACAGAAATGGAGACAGCAGGATCCAGTCATAACGGAGAGCTGACGAGACCTAAAAAAAAAAACAAACCTCTGTTTTGGGGTTTAAAAACTCTGAACCACCGGGGGTTCAGAGGGGCAAGCCCTCTCCACCTGCAGTGGTGGTCTTCTGGGGTACTTGGGTCAGAATCTTTAAGGGAGCGGCATCTGTCTCTGTCTGCGAAGAAGCAGTTGGTGATTCTGGCATCTACAGCCAGGAAAGAGTAAACCAGAGCCAGGAAGACGTGGGAAGAGAACACCGGGCTTCTAGGAGGACAGCAGAGCCTGGGTGCCTATGGCAGAGCAAAGAATCAGGAATCGCTCCGCAGCTCTTTGGCTCTCAGAACGTGCAGACACTCTGGAAGAAAGACCAAGACTTTTGTGTTGAGGGACCCGGTCAGGAAGGACCAAATTGGAGTTGTCCCTATTCCATCCCTGTGACTTCAACCTTCTGAGCTGGGGTGACTGAGACCTCAAGAGTGTCCTGAAAGATGTGAGAAGGGCAACGGTGTGCAAGAGGCACGGTGAGACTAGACATGCGTGCTGTGAGTTGAGAGAGTGACCGAATACAGAGGAGTGCCAGTCGGAGAGCTGGTAAGTGCCCAGAGCTCTTAGGGGTAGGGAGGTTAGTCTGAAGTGGGTGAGCCTCCACCAAAGAGCAATGTGCCTGGGCTGGCCCAGATTAGCCTCTTCTTTTCTCACTGCTTGATCCCAATCCATTGCAACGTAGCCCTCACTGCGAGACCTGCACCTCCTGGCCACCTCCGGGTAATGCCGAGGGAAGGAAGAATTCCTGTCCCCGAGTTTAGGGATGGGAGTTGCGAGCCAAGCAGTGGCCCCAGCCTAGAGCATCCTGGTACCAAGGCTAAGGCCGCCGTATGCTGCTCCAGAGGAGTCTCTTGTGGAAAGTCTGCTGGTGTCTGTGAGACTGAGGTTGGGAAATAATTTCTCCAGGGTGGAGAGTGAAATCCCAGTGTAAAACAGCAGACTGGGCGCCCTCCAATGGAGTCACAGCAAGACCCGGTCCCCGCCTGCTTAGATGGTTGGTTGATGAGCAAAGGCCACCCGACACAAGGAAGGACATTTAGGCAGACCTTCTCTAGATACTCCCAACCCTCGACCCCGTCAGGGCTAAGATAAAATCTAGCACAGGCCGGGTGTACGCAGAGCACCTGAATTCTGAGGACTACCTCTCAGGCAGAGACACTCTGACAAGTGGCCTAAGCCGGGTCTCGGTCCACTTTGTTCCCGAATCGGCTTCCTAGGGACCACCTGCCTGCCCCAAATAAAGCAAATCTTTAGGGCCAGGGCAGTCGGGTACCACCGATTACGAAGAAGCTCCAGGCACTCCACCGTCTGAGTGGCCTGGGGGTGGGGAGAGGACAGAGGCCTTGAGGTTTTGGACCCGCCACAAGCTGGCCATCCGGGAAGCCCGCTGAGCTGGGAAGACTTTGCCTCCGCTTTCCTAAGGTACTAGGTTCCGACAGGCCAGTGCCTGGGATTCGGATGCTTTCTCCGGGATCGGGATCTTCTTCCCCTCCTGCCCCTGCAAGCAGTCGGGCTTACCGCCTAAGGGCCTGTCAGACGAGAGCTTCGTTCTGCAGGACAGTGAGCAGCAGCGCGTGGGTCTTTGTGGTCCCAAGGCCCTTGATTCCGTTTCCCCGGGCTTTAAGCCGGGGCTGATGAGACTATCCAGGCAGCGGCTCGCTCGCCCAGAAGTTCGTTGTTGGCAGAATTAGCGAGTGACTTGCGGAGCTGTTGCTCCATGCTGACTTATAAGATCTGCTTCCTTCTCGCTACAGCGGTGCAAACACGCTGTCACTATGGGTAAGGGAAACTGAAGGCCCAGGTTAGAGAATTTGCCTGAGCGGGACAGGTTCCCGGGGACGATAGGACATTTGTAATAGACCTTTGAGACTGTAGCTCATGGTCTTCTTGAGTTAGGAGCCGCCTCCGAGGGAGCGCGGTGCTCAGAATGAGAGCCGGGGTTCCTGGTCCTGCCGCTCTGAGTGGCAGGGATGGCGCTGGTTCTGTCGCCAGAGGACTTGGGGCCAGCTGCAGGTGAGGTGCAATAGCGGGGGTGGGGAGTGGGGTGGGGGGGAGGGGGCGGCGGGGAGGGTTGCAGGTTATAGTTTAGGGGAAAAAAAACTTAGCTCTGCGACAGTTTGGTAATTGCCAGTTTCTCCCTCTAGCAGGCTAAGCTGCACCGGATATTCATCACCGGTGCTGGTTATACGGAGTAAAAAATAAAACCTCGAGCCCCCAGGTGAGTCTGGTGGTCTCTCTGCCCACCCGCTGTGTCTCCCACCTCACCGAGGCCATTATGCTGGGAAGGGAAAGGTGAGGCTAACCGGGCACCAAGGACCGCAATTTGAGTTGTTCGTAGGATTCTCCTCCGTGCTACTCTGGCCCTGGTCAGAGA